ACCTCCCGGCCCTTCCCCATCCTGACCCTGATCCCGCTGGATGTGCCCATCCAAACCCTCCCTCTCCCCTCTCCCAAGGCTCTGGAATCTCTCCCGGGAATTCTCCCACCACCGGGATATCCCGGGAATCCGAAATTCCCTGGAAAACAGGGCTCCTCTTCCCTCCTCTCCCTTTTTTCCCTCCCGCCTCTGTTTCCCAGCTCCTGTTTCCAGGAGGAGCTTCCCCCTCCTTCCTTAATTAATCAGTCCTGTTAATTAGCTGGTAATTAGCAGCAAGGATCCAGAACCTCCAGCTGGAGCCGGGATTTTTCCATTAGGAGCACAGGGAATGTTCCAGGATCCCTTCTCACCTGGAGGACCCTGTTCAGCCCATCAGGGAATTAATCAACTGCCCTTAATTAATTAATTAATTAATTAAGTAATTCCATTAATTAACTGCTTTTAATTAACTATTTCCCTTAATTAATTGTCCCTAATTAATCAGTGCTGTAATTCCCTGGAATAATAATATAATAATAAAATAATATAATATCATAATATAATAATAAAAAAGGCAATTAGTTTAAAAAATTAGTTAAAAATTAGCTAAAAACTATTATAATAAATTATAATTAATTCCATTATAATATAATATAATATAATATAATATAATATAATATAATATAATATAATATAAATAATATAATATAATGTAATAATAAAATAATATAATATAATATAACAATAAAAATAGAATATAACAATAAAATAATATAATATAATGTAATGTAAATAATAATATAATACTGTGATATTAATAATAAATTATAACAAAAAACCGAATTAATTCCCTGACTTAATCCGTGCTGTTCATTCCCAGACCCTCCCGCCGGTGCTGGGATTTCCCCATCCCAATTCCCGGCTCATTCCCAATCCCGTCTCACCTGCAGAACCCTGTTCATGTTGGTGCCGGGATTTCCCCATCCCCATTCCCAGCTCATTCCCAATCCCGTCTGACCTGCAGGACCCTGTTCGTGTTTCCCATGTGGATCAGGAATCCGTCGGTGTCGGGATTTCCCCAT